CTCTCTCTCTCTCTCTCTCTCTCTCTCTCTCTCTCTCTCTCTCTCTCTCTCTCTCTCTCTCTCTCGTCAATTTCCATGATAAAATGAAGTCTCCTATTATTTATACTATGGATTAGCCTGCCGTACGAGCGAGTGAGTTTACAATTAAACTATTTTAAATATATTTTAGTTTTAGAAAATATTTGAAATTTTATTTTATACTATAAAATAATAAATTTAATCTGCTTTAATTCTAAAGGTATATTTTATATCTTATTAAATTTTGTTGGTTTAGTTGAATAACCACTAACAATTCTTTTGTTAAAGAACACAAGATTATTAAATTAAAAAAGTAAGGGAAATGTAATGATTTATATTTTTGTGTTTGATTTCTATTTCAGTTTGATATCTTTGAAGAAAATCCAAAGTAAAACTAACTAATGTTTTTCTAATCTCTAAGAATATCAAATTTTATTATTATAACTAATTTTCACGATAATAAATTAATACACTCAACTCCAAGCTAAATCGATTGAAAAACAAATGTAATGTGATAAAAATACAAAAATTTATATTTGAAGTAATAATTAAAGAGTTTCAATAAAGTCATAATAAAAATTATTATATATTATGTAAAAAATGATCTCTCATAACATATGTTTATTTCAGTTTATATTAGATTTTAGTGTATAATGAATTTAATTTGATTTTTAGTATTTTACTAATTATGTTTTTGTAAATTATTTTAGCATTTGTTGACAATTTTATAAAAAGAAATTGTTGGAAATTTTGCTCATGCTATTTGAAATAATTTTATAGATTAATATTATTATAAATTAATAAAGTATTACATTTCTATCAAAATTTTACTTGGGTTTCATATCCTATCATATAAATAACTGAAATGAAGCGTATAATCATTTATAATTTGGAAATTAAGATGAACCAAACTGTATATAAATGTTTTCTGGAAATTATGTTTCTCTTCAAAGACTGAAACTAAAAGAAACAACTAAACTTTTTAATATTTTCAGTATTGACTCTATCGTATGAAAATACATAATTTTTATCTAATCAAACATTTTATTTTCAGTTTCCATGTAGTAACAGCGATAACATAAAAAATCATATATAGTTACATAATTAAATGGAATAAAAAACATAGTAGCGTTATATTCCAGCCCAAAGTAATCAAAGAATATGTCATCAAGCAAACTATTATGCACATAAAAATTGCAGAGTTTCTGTTTTGAAACTTGCAATGATTTCTGGAGGTCCATCATTTTGTTACTTACTATTTTTCTAAATCTTGAGCTTTTTTAAAAAAAAAAAATCTGTAGATTTCTATCAAAATCTTTCTTGAATTTGGTGAAATGTGCAAAAAAAAAACCGCGAACAAATCTTTCTTCTCTTTCTTTCTTCTGAATTTTGTTTATTACATTTTTTTGTTAAACTTTTATAATGTAACAACTTTGTTTCTTGGCAATACAAACACCTAAAAGGACACTTGCCATACTAATTAAAAATAAATCAAACAGAAATAATGCTTTAAAATTGATATTACTACACATTTTAGCGAAAATTGAGTTGGTTCTTGTAATTATGGATCATTAGATAGTCACACAACAAATATGATTGGTTGTAATGTAACTAATGACTTTGGCTTTAATTTCCATTACAACCATAAAAGTTACCAATCATGCTTTATCTAATTTTAAGTGCTTAAGTCAATTTTTTGTAAAAATGGTTGTATCACTCTTGTTTTCTAAAGCACTATATTTTATATGTTGTAGAGAGAAAAAAATTGCTATACAAAAATCTTTCCATTTTTGTTATTTTCGCATTTAATTCTCACAGCTGCATTTGCTACAACTACATCAAAAATTCCTATATACAATTATACAGTAAGACTTTTACAGTTACATCCCAACCAATCACCCTAATCTAACTGAAAAAGAACTACCTCGTCTCACTTAGCTTGAGAATTTCTCTCATCACAGTTACAGTCTTCAGTCTATTCCTTTCCGAATTGTAAGTTTACAATAAGAAATTAAATCGTCTCATTTATTATTGAATAATTGTGGATTAAGCTATTAACTTAGCAAAAAATAGACGAAGATGTCTGTAAGTAGTTTGGGGAAAAGTAAACAAATGGACAGTATATTTCTAACACATGAAATATCTAAAACAATGCACGTTTAAACATAACATATTGGGACATAGATTTGAGAAACCCTTTTTCAAACAAAAAAAAGAAATATATTCAGAAAGGTCTTGTTTAAAAATCTGAATGCTGGGTGTATTGATCAAGCTATTGCTCACTACATTTAACCATGCCCAACTTTCCCATAAGGAGCTCTGATCGTAACTCCTAAGTCCTATCAAAATCCATATAAACTCTAATGAGCAAAGGAGATCCAGTTCAATACTAAGAACTTACTTAAAATGAGGTTCAACACAATGCTACATGGATGAAATTTTGAGTCATGCTAGCTAGGCCAATTACATAGAGATTGCTTTATTGATCTTGATATGCAAATACAATGCAGCAGAAACAAAGGGAGAAGATAGAGCAGAAGCAACAATAAACTTTTTGACAGGGTCAAACATAAAAAGGGAAACAGAACCTCAAAACCAAAATCAATATTTTTAATCGTAATTTCCGATCTCCCTTTTCATCTAATTCGTTATAAATTGAGATTTTGTGTTTTCTCAGTCCATTTTACTTCTCAAACTTTCCTCAAGAGATCAACCCGATGGCATTCAAAGCACAATCTCGAAGCTCTGGCGATTGCATGTCTAAGAAACGAAACGACAGCTCCTCCGCCGTCGATCAGAAGAAGATCTCGAAGACGGATGGTTGAATCGAAACGTCACTGTCCAGATTCCAGAAACGATGGCTCCTCCAAACCGATTAGGAGGGAGAATAAACCACGGTGAGAAGAATTGGTATAACCAGGGCAATGACAAGTCAGGTCCACTCTTATCAAGGTCTGGTCAAATTTGAAAAGCTTATGTATAGAGCTTATATAAATTTGACTGCAGGGTTGCTTCAGCTGGGTGTTGATGTGGAAGTTTCCTGATGGTGGTTGGCTTACGGGATGTATATAACAACAAAACTCTATACTATGTCTCGTGATCTGTGCTATATTTTCAGGCTGTTTTATCCCTATATGCTGCACGGCGGACAACAGGAAATGTTGTTAACGTTGGTTTCCAAGTCATAACCATTCTTCCAAGTAAGCTATTTTTCTTCGTTATGATCCATTTTTGTATCCTCAGATGATTTTTATCGAATTGGTACTGAATTTGATTAATTTTGAGTTGTTATAAAAAAAACTTGTGCATCCATCTGATTCTCTCTGCACCATTCACTCGTGTTTTCCAGTTTTGCATGGCAAGGTCATGCGCCAGATAGGTGTAGAAGTCATTGGTTTTGGAGCGTTGAAACTCACAAGATTCTTTACAGAGAAGATGCAAGAGAACAACATTACCTTCCAATCGTTCTACACTGTTCGTACTTTAAAAGAGGTATTACCATTGACCAACCTGTTCCTGGTCACAAATAATTACGTAGGTTTCCATCGTAAATGGCTATTTTGTAAATCAAAGTAAAGTTCATCCCTGTGCGAGGCTGTAAGATAGACATGATATACAATACCTTATGCCCTCTAATTATTATTTATTAAAAGTTAACATAAGAAGTAATTGACTATAGTTCTTTCTTGTAAGCTGGTTTACATTATGCTTTTTTGCTATGCGAACGTAGAACCTGTGTTATGTGGCGCCCAATTATAAAGCTGAACTTTCAAGGGACACACAAGCTTCAAGGAAAATTGCGGGTGAATGATGATTTACTCTGGCAAAGGAGCGTTTTCAGACAAGGGAGATATTATTCCAACCACGTATTTCTGGACTGTAAGGCCTACCCTACTTATTACCATCAGTAATAAAGAAAAATAAAACCTTGAAGCCTCTCTAGAATATGGAATCTGAACAAGTTCTGAAGCTAGAAATGAAATCATCTGACCATACTATATAGTTCAGAAACCTGTTAATAACTTCCAAAATTTTCATTATGACTTCTTCAGATTACATCATTGTAATGTGATTAAGCTACATGCATCTCATCCTGAGCTGTGTTTCTGTGAATAATCTCCAAACATTGACCATTTTTAAATATATTCTTTGATTGTTTTTTGTCATTGCAAAAATAGGCGTGCAATGAGTTTGCACCAGGCAGTCGCACCATGCATGGACAATTTTGATGCAGCAGGAGTTACAGTTACAGGTGATGATAGCTGGTTCACGACTGTAGTATTGGCTGGAGGAAGCACATGTTTGCCAGGACTTGCAGGTACTGTAATACTACCACTTTTGTGATTCCATGAATCTACTCAGAAGTAAATAATCAGTAGTTCTTGCTTACAACTTGAAACATCTTTGAAATTCAAATATAAAAGAATAGAACTCCTCCAGCTGACAATGACATGCTTATGCGGGTTTTGTTTTGTGAGCTGTATCCAGAAAGGCTAGAGAAAGAACTGCATGACCATCTTCCGTCTTATATATGCAATGGAGTCAGACTAATCCCTCCTCCTTGTGGCGTAGACTCAGCGTGGCATGGAGCAAAGATTATCAGTAATGTCAGTCGATGTTATCTGTTGTAATATTGATGATATTCGTGAGTATACCATCAAGTGACGCAACCCTCTTTCTCAACCTCCATAGCGGGTTTAATACCAAAAGATTATTTCTTAAGTTACTGTCTGAAACATCCGTTGATATTTATATATACATGTTTTACTGAAATGAATGTGGGATTGATTGTCACTAAAGATGCATAAATCCTTTTTTCTGACGATATCTAACATTATTCCGTCTGATGCTCACCCAAGTGCATTTTTATTATTTACTGTGTGTAGTTAAGCACGTTTCCTGGTCCTTGGTGTATCACAAAGAAGCAGTTCCGTCGCAAATCAAGACTAATGCGGTGAATGTCTCATGATTTTTACGTCTCTTACCTTCACGAAGACTGAGCTATTCAGTTTGTAAGTGAGAGGCAGGTAAGAGTTTCCTGCAAATAGTTGTAATGTATTTTAATGTCTGAATGTATAGTTATTTAGACTTATAATGTTCCCACTAAACTATGTATGGTTTGTACTTTGGGAGTATTTACTTGAACTTGGAGTTTTTTTTATTGACGGGGACATGTGTTGTGTTCGCTTTTTGGACTACTGAAGCAAATAAAATAAAGTTGATGTGGAGGATTATGTCACCTTGCGATTGGGAAATACAAACCAAATTAAGATATATTATGGTTTCAGAGAATTATCTATGAACTATTAACGCTTTTTTGTGTACTGTCCAATCACCTTTAAATTTCTTAAATGTTTAATTGAATTTTAATAAAACACTGAAGTGTTTGGGGGATTCTTGGTGCCGTTCTGGCGTTTGAAGTGGTTGCACTGCTACTATGTTTTCTTTTAAATTAGTAATTTTCATAGTTTTCACATGTTTTCATGAATTGTATTTCTATCTTATGAATTTCTTTGAGATGCTCCACATAACACATTGTTTCAGAGGTAGAATAAATTATTCTAAGTGGTATTATTTAATTTTGTGTAGTTCTATGTCTCATTTCGTGGTTAAATATATTAGTATAGTGTTTGTTCTTATTTAAGATATGTGTACAAAAAGATATGTGCCTAATAAATGAAAATATTAACTAACTTATTGTTAAAAAAATATATGGTAACATATTGTTAGTCTAAATTTAGGATAAGACCAAAATATTAATAGATAAGATGAAAGGGTGCAGTAACCTTATATAAGTAGATTTTTCAAGATTGTTTCTGTTTTAATAGTATTGATTTTTCAAAATCAATGTTTATCAAAATCTGAATTAAAAAAAAACACACAATCTAAGTCATTTAGACACATTTCAGAATTTAGTAAATTACAATTATTATATATAGTACAAGGTGCATCTGCTTTTGCTTATGAAGTAGCTATAATATTTTGTTTTATACCTTATGTTATAAACAACCCTTTTCTCTTCTTTTCTATAATGTTTTTTTAAAACTTTTGGACATGATATATCAAATAAAATTTAAGAAAGAAAAACCTCTTTGTTCAGTGAGTACTTCTTTGTCGATTATCGAAAATTAAGAAAGTTATGACCATAAGAAGACTGGCTCAATATCTATTGTTTTGTATAACTATATTCTCCATCAGACTCTTCTTCTTTCCTCTCATCAACCTTTACAACCCCATCAACGATCACAATATTATCTACGACCAACGTAAGTTTTCTTCAAATTGAAAAAAAAATATAGAAAAGGAGATGAGCTATATAATCATGTTCTAATTTGATTATTTAGTGTTCTTATTGTTAAAATGAAAACCTGAATTGTTTAATATAGTGATTCTTTCTCTGCATCTTTTTGTAGAATGCCCCTGATTTGTCTAAAGGCCTTACGTTGCTAGTAAACACCTATATAACAATCAAAAAATTATCTATATTTTACAAATTTAATTTGATACTATTGTTATTCTTTGTGGTTGGTTTAGATTTGAAGGCTTGTGACTTGTCTAAAGGACACTGGGTTCAAGACCCTAGAGGGTCTCTCTACACAAATTTTACCTGTCCTACAATACCCCACTCGAAGAACTGCTTCAAACATGGAAGACCAAACGGAGATTTCTTGTTCTGGAGATGGAAACCCGAAGGCTGCGATCTTCCAAGATTCGATCCCAAAGCTTTTCTAAATCTTGTTCGAGGCAAAAAGATGAATTTTATTGGTGATTCTGTCTCCAGAAACTACATGGAGTCTCTTCTTTGCCTCTTATCAATTGTAAACCTTAAACAAAAACTCTTTGTAGAAGATCTTGTGACATAACTCCTTAACCTTGTTATATATAAAATTCATTTTCTTGATTTGCTTGTGTAGGAAGAGACTCCGGAAGATATCTACAAGGATGCAGATGACAGAAACAGGATATGGCGCTTTCCTAATCATGATTTCACACTATCGACCTCGTGGACTAAGTTTCTGGTAGTGGGATATGAGAGGACATACGCTAACAAGACCGGAACCGGAATTTATGATCTCGACATTGACAAGATCGATAAGCAATGGGTGAAAGATCTGCCAAGTACAGACATTGCTATTGTCTCGGCTGGTCATTGGTTATTCAGACCAATATATATACATAGAGGAGATGAGACAATTGGTTGCATCTTCTGTAACTCACCAAACGTGACTCAGATCAGCCTGAGAGAAGGGTTTAAGCTGGTTTTCTCAGCTGCCTTTAAGCACATCAATGCATGTAGTAACTGTAAAGCCAACTTAGTGACGGTTCTAAGGATGTTTTCACCTTCCCATTTTGAGAATGGGTCTTGGAACGATGGAGGAGCGTGTGGGAGAACAAAACCTTTTGGGGTTGATGAAATAAACCTGCAGAGTAGGGAAATGGACATCAGGACATCTCAAATAGAACAACTTGTAGAGATCAAACGTGACAGCTTAGCGAAGAAGAAGTTTGAGGTTTTGGATGTGACTAGGGCAATGCTAATGAGACCAGACGGGCACCCGAACTCATACTGGGGAAATCAATGGATGAAAGGTTTCAACGATTGTACTCACTGGTGTTTGCCAGGACCAATCGATACCTGGAGCGAGTTTCTGATGATGTTACTGGGACAACTCATGTAATTTTGAGGATAAGATCTTCCAAAATTTGTATATCAGAGTGCATAACTCAAAATATCAACAAATTGGCAGACAGAAAAAGTTCAACAGGTGACCCTATGTGGTCCAGAAACCTGTAGGAACTCTAATTCTACAATAGTGTAAACTGAATGATTATAAAGCATTTACATAAACAAATTGACAAATATAAAAATACTGATAAGTAAGAATTTGGAAAGAAAAACGGGTTTGTAGAAGCGATATAACTTTTTTCGTTAATTCTGTAAACGTCTCATATCATTGAAGAACGTAATTTGTTGAATTTATTTTAATTTTGTACTATCAGCTAAAGATAAAAGAAAAAAACTAGTATTCAAAGTGGGAGAATTTGTTGTTGCTCGTATCAATTCTAGATGGCTAATCTTATATTAATTTCTTTTTATAGGGGTAAAATAGGACACTTGTCATTTGATCATTTGTTAAATATTTTTTTAAACCCAATAATTAAACGAATTTTATTTTATCTAAAATTTTGTTATCTTTTATTTGGACTTGAATTAATATTATTAGTCCAATAAAATTAAATAAAAATAACTTTTTCATCTTCAACATCTTCTTCAAGATGGATGGTAACTTTAGTATTTATGATTCAACTTTATCGAAAGTTTTCTTCGATCCCTGTGGGTTTCTTCTTCTTTCTCTTCTTCACTTCACCAGATTACGCTTGATTCATCACCATATATTCATATTCTACCGATTTCATCTTCGATGGAATTAACATTGGAAATCTCGGCTATGGATTTGTTATCAAGACTATAGTCTTGGTTGAAGAAGAAGTTTCTGGAGATGTAGAAACTGGATTTTAAATCTTATGTGTTTATTGGTGTTTTAAGTTTTTTTCTCTATCGATTTTAAATCGTATGTGTTTGTTGGTGATTTTTAAAATATCTAGACTTTTTGGAGATGTAGCAACTGCACAAAGCCAAATCTCTGTGGGAATAGGTTTACTCGGTGAATCTATCTTTATGTTTCTCAGTGTTAGTTAGAAAACTTGCACAGTTGTTACTAAGTGTGACATTCATTATACTGTTGTTGTAAACAAGAAAGACACTAAAGACTTCCATATAAGGTAAGGAGGAAGTGTTTATGTCTTATGAATTGGATTCTTCATTTTATCTCTGACTTATATAACTATGATCGTTGTTGCCTCTGTATCTGTAGATTCTGGTGTTGGTGTTGATGTTTGGACCAACTAAGCTGCGAGAATAATGGCTATTGGTTTTCCTGTTTGTTATTGTCCAGCTTCCACAAGTGGTGAACTCAACTTAAGATATGTGGCCGTGTTGGTTGTTTTAATTGCTCAGCTCTAATGTAAAAGCTTGGGGATCCACATTTATAAACAAGCGACTTATATTATGTGCATTTCATCACGTTCTTTTTCTAAATCATTGTAATCTTCACAAACCCATCAGTCTGGAATGGCGAACTCTTCTGATCATCCGCTCGCTGACTTGAAGGCATGACATTGTAACACAACCGTCGAAGTCCGGTTGCTGAGAATTCGGGATGAGCTTACTTCACTTTTTCATGTATTGTATTTGCACTGTGACATTCTTTTTTGATAATTATGTATCTATAATTTTTTTCTAAGTATATATTAGCTTAGTTTGCATACATATACTGATGCTAGATAATCGAATTTCAGATTCTCTTAACTTATACAACTAATGTATTAGGTAAAAAAAAAAAAACCTCGCTGCATATACTATCTTATATATTAAAACAGAAGTCATGACTTGAATTCATGTGTGATTTTTTTAAAAATGGACTATTACTAGAAAGTTATGTTACATTAATTCTCTAATAATCTTATCATTATTATTATGAAAAATCATATCTATAATAACAAATATACGCTTAACAATTTGGTTTTGGTAAATTACCCCACACCTTCCAACTTAGTCACGCAAAATATGTCAATAGATATAAGTTTAGGAATCTTCTATTATTTATAAGGAAATATGTCAATAATAGTTAAATGCATCCACAATATATTAACAAAAATCACAACTTTGAAATATGGAATATTTATATACCTTAACAAAATTTACATGCTATATATACTAGATAAATTTATTTCAATGTAAATTTTTTAAATTATATTGTTTTAGGAAAATAAATTGTTTAAAAAATTCTTTTTAATAAAATTCTTTATAATATTAATTTATGAAGCTATAAGCTTAGTTTTTAGCAAAAATTTCTTCGAAGTTTATATTATCTTTGCAAATTAAAATATATTAATATTTAATCAATTTCTATTTATATTACTTTATCTAAAAATGAAATACCAATCTAACAAACAATAAAATATAGAAGAAGAAAAAACACATGTTTGAAAAACATGTATAATATAAAAAATTTGAAACAATCTATCTGATTAAAACACGTATTATCGAATATTATTGTGTTTGAAAAACATTTACTATACATATCATAAATATGTGATTACCATAATATATACCAATTTACAAGTGAAAACAAAATGTTTATATAACTAACTATAAACGAAAACAAATACCCGCGCGGTTGCGCGGGTCAAAATCTAGTTTCATTCTTAAAACTACTAAAACTTTAAAAATAGAACGCTAAATATCATAATAAGTTTGAAATTATGAAATCTAACACATCTTTCAAACTCTTATGAAATCCCCTACACCTTTATATTTGGACTAATTATATTAACACTACATTAAATTGTTCATAGATATTTTTATAATAAATCATGTCTTTAACAAAAATCAGTTACAATTTCTATAATAATAAATGGATTTCCATATACATTTTTATTAAATAAAAAAGTTAAAAAGGTTAGTTATACTGATATATTTATACTTTTAATATTTTAAAATTATGGAAGATAGATAAAATCGATGATAAATATCATCTCATCTTCATATATATCACCTCATTTAAATATCTAATTTTTTTAATTTTGATATTTAAATATATATATATATATATATTAAAAAAAAAATTATAAATGTTATTAATATTTTTTTCTATGTTTCAAATGTGTGAATAAATTGAAAGTACACAAAATTACATCGTAAACTTGAAAAATAAAATATATTTTAAAAATAAAATATAATTAATAAATTTGATTATGCCTATTTCTTCTTTCTGCTCTGCTATAGAGTGTTCTTTTCCTATTACTTCATGGTTTCAGATCTTTCTTACTTCCTCTAGAGTGGAGTACTTAATGTTGAATTGCAGATTTTCAGCTTGGTTGTGGTTTCATATCTTGATCATCACCACTCTTCTGAAACCAACTTCAACTTCCTTGCTACAATGGTTTTTGTATCGTTGCTGCTCATGTGTTTCACGGTCAGTCTTTGGATTGGAAGATTTTTCTACAGATAATTCGTTCTCTGTACCGTTCAAAGGGTCAGTATCTTGATCTCATATCACTTCTGGTATTGTAGCCAGTGTTAAGATTTTTATTCATGCACTAGTTGCAGTATCAGTCGTAAGCATTTGATCACCGATTGTGTTCTTTGTTTCCCATGGCGTCATTCCACTGCGTAAGCCTAGTGTTATATATCGAGATACGAGGACGTCTCTGCAATGTTAGTTGTTTAAGTATAATGATGGCTTCCATCTTTTTTTTTTGCTTGCCTTTTATTGCAGCCAAGTTAGCCAGTATGACTTTGTTATCATCTTTGTAAATAATTCTTCCTCTAATGGAGAATAGTTATCTATAAATCTTGTTTGATAAGAAAAAAGATTTATAGTAATAACCGATCACTGATCGAAAAAACTAAATAACTATTGACTTTTGTATAACAAATATACGTTACTTAACATATTAGATATGAATAGTGTGATTAATGAAACATATGTGTCATATCATTCAAATTTAAACCAACATTGACCGTCCAATATATATGGTAACTGGATATTATTTGTTTTATCCGTCTAACAATTGTTATGATTTATTGTTTAGGATTTACATTACTCTAGGATTAAGTTTTGCAATTTGATGTTTAAGGTTTATTCTCTAGATATAAGGTTAAGGTTCATCCTTTGGATTATGGTTTAGTGTTTATCCTTTTGATTTAATGTTTATTGGATTTACCATTTATCATTTGGGTTTATGGTTTATCCTTAGGGTTTATAGTTTATTGTTTAGATGTATTAAAAAAAATAGAAGAAGACTTAGGATAACTTGCTGCATTATGAAAATATTATGTTTAACCGAACTCTTACCTTTTCACAATAAACCTTAAGCCATAAACTCTAAATCCAAAGAATAAACATAAATCATAAATTCAAACTCTCAACTATAAACCTAGAGGATAAATCCTAAACTCTAACCTTAAACTTTTAAACTCAAAGGATATATATTAAATTTAATGGTAAACTCTAAACTCAAACCTATAGAATAAATGCTAAAAACTAAACATCAAAGCTAAAGGATAATCCTAAACCCAAAAGTGATCTGGATATCATTATTGTTAAGTGGGTTTTTTTTATTAGTGGTCGGGTATAACTAAAGACATCAGACCAAAAATTATACATGTAACAAAATATTAGCTCTCTAACATATATTGAAAATGGATGTTAGCCGGTTAAAGATTTTTAAAACCAATTGTGTTACATGTATTATTCACTTTGGCGAAACAACAAATATCACGTTATCTGTTCGATTAATCTTTGGGTTAAGACCTATAGTAATAACCGATCACCGATAAAAAAATAACTAATAATATTGGTTTCCTGATAACAACTACACATTACTTAACATATTGGATGAACAATTTGATTAATAAAACATATATGTTATATCGTTCAAATTTAAAACAGTATTGGCCATACAATATATATGTTTAACTAGGTGTTTTGCCCGCATTTGCGGGCCTAAATATTTTATAATTATTTTATTAATACATCTTTTACTAATGGAAAGATTATAATGATAAAGTATTAATTGTGATTTATATTCTGAAACCAATAATATTTATACT